GGACATGATCCGTTTACCAATCCCGTACTTTATAAACATAATTTTCTTTTATTTCTTATGCTGCACAAATGTCAGCGGCAATGTTCCACGGAAATGCTGCCTGGCATGGTACTCTTTTTGGGGAATTTTAGCAACGGTTCATGTTCAAATGACAAATTTAATTCTTGTGTATATTCACCTTTTACCCCAAGGTAGTTATCCATGGGAGTTTGAACTAACCATTTTAATACTTATATTAGTGTCAGTATCTCTACCATTATTGGATATATTGCTAACTACATGTGGGTGTTGTATTTGGTGTTGCTGCCGCAAGGAATTGATGTTAAAAGGAGAAGCATATCTATTTTTTTCTGGACTTTAATCTCCTTCTCCTTGGACCTGACAAAATGTATCTTAGCGATAACAAATATTAAGACATTTTACATTGTAGCCATGGTAGTTGGATGGGTATGTATATCATTTTGGCTGTTTGTATCATTAATTTTACTTTTAAATGCATATTGCAATTCGAAAGTCACAGATATGGCGAAATTTATCGTTACCGGTCCCCATTCCAATAAAGTAAACCCAACCACATCATCAAACACTAGTATCGAAGAATCATGGTCGGCCGCAAACGACGAAAGGATTGGATCGACCGTAATTGCGGAACCGATGTGGTCGGACACAAGGAACATGTACCCACCGATTGGGTCTGTTCTATGGGAAGAAACGATGGGAACTAACATAAGGGAAGCAACGATGAGGTCGGACGCCAGCACTAGTATCGAAGAGTCATGGTCGGCCGCAGATGACGAAAGGATTGGATCGACCGTAACTACGGAACCGATGTGGTCGGACACAAGGTACGCACCGACTGGGTCGGTTCTATGGGAAGACACGATGTGGTCGCACACGGGCGGCGAAGTGATGGGAACGAACATAAGGGAAGGATTGGTGTGGCTGTGCACAACCGCAGCACCGATGGGAACGAATATAAGGGAAGAGTCGATGTTGTCGGACGAAATAATGAGGTCAGACACAAGTGGTGGAGCCAATGCAACGTACTCAAGCGACGGAGAGAATCTGTCGGATACGAGCGACGATTTGTGAACATTTTGTTCACAACCATGAAGCGACGCGAGCGATAATTGTGCCAACATCGATATAGCCAATTTCATTGTCGCATTAAAGGAAGCACGAGGGTCGCCCCTGTGTGTAAAGAGGTTTAAACGTGGCAATTGAACATAAAAGCCCACATACATAGGTAATGAGTGTACATCTCTTTGTTTATTTGTGGTGTGTTTTGATGAGTTGAAAATATACTTCTAATATTATGAATAAAGTATTAACGTTTTGTGCTCATTATGTAAATTTTAGCTTAACTATGTGTTTGCGTATCTATTTCTTATATTTGACAGATTGGGTGATCAGCTGGAATAAAGAGTCATGAATAGCATCGGCAATAAATTTGTCCGCAAATTGTTTGATGTGGCCGCTACTGGTGGTGGCGTATGTTAAATGCTAGGCATTGGTCGCTGTGTTGTAAATTTAATGATAAATGATTTAAAACAGCACCCCGTCAAGAAAATTTACCTAGCTAATCTGCCTTCGATTTGTTCATTTTTAAATGGCGTCCTCGGAACGGCTGATATGACATAATCATATAATTTTTACCTAATGTACATGTATGTTCTTACTGATTAATGCAAAAGACTGAGAAGATTACAACTCGCCAATACTCAACATGCGACCAATACGTAGGTACGTTGCACCACCCTGCTTACTGACAAAATGGTCATTCCTGATTTTTAAAAAATATTCCTACCATGTGGGTGCAAATAAACATAAATTAAGATGATCATCCAATTAATCATATAGAATTTCATATGAGCATATGTCATTAACCAAACCTTTGTCGTTGTACTACCATTAGACGGAAACAATACACACGGTCCAAAGATTTTTTGATACATCAAAAAAAATAAATAAATAATTATTATTATTTTTGTCCAGACGTTTGATCTTTGAAGAGATACAAATCTATCCACTGCCCATCTAATAAACTCAAATAAAAGTCGAAAGGCAAAAATGAAGAAACTCATATAGGACACATGGTACATTTATGTGACGCAATAGTTGATGAAGAGGACTTTGACCACAAGCTGAATTGTCATGCAGAAGTTTGGGAAGGGATGATAAATTAGGTTAGGCAATTTATGACACGGCCTCAACAAATTCTAGAATTCGGAATGACATAGTGTTGCCTGTGGATGACCCTTGTATGCCACTTCGGTTCCTGATTCCTTACACATTACTTTTGATTTTCCCTATATATTATTGTTAATTTACCAAATTATAAATTATTCACTGGAAGGAATGCAAAGAGAAGAAAATCTCCATATTTATTGTTATTTTTAAATAGAACATGGTAATGGACTGGTTTAAAAATTCAAAATGTCTTAGTATACCCCATTCCCGTACCTGGATCGATCTAGCAGGATTCTCGCTAAATTACGTTCAGATTAAGCGGCTCTGGCACGCCTACTGAAGCTGTTAAACAATAGTTAATTACGCCCTTACAGCTGCAGTGGGCGTGCCGGCCATCCTAGCCGCTTGATTTGAATGAAATTTAGCAAGAAACCCCTCGGAGATGGGTCGGTCCTCCTAGATCGATATAGGTACGGGAACGGGGTCGTAGTAATTGAAATTGCAAATGCAACTTTTGCAACAAAATATCAATTAAGGAGAAGTATGAGACAAAATGTGAAATATTATCAAATAAGAAGGGAAAGGAAGATTGTTCAAAAATTAGGCTATGCTATGTCTGACGTGGTATATTTGAAAGTTATCTCCCATAAAAATGACTTTACCCTTTCAGCAGCTTTCCCTCTTCCCATGACACACCGAACACGAAATTAAACCAGTTGTTTTTCTGAAGAAGCTGAAGTTCTACGCTGTAGACCTCTTTCGCCAGATAGTAGTTAAACTAATGTCGGTATTTACCCGATGCAAGAGACACCTGTTGGTGCTATTTGATAGGAAATAGTAAACGCATGACAGTAAGTTTGCAGAACAAAAGGTGAACTTCATGACATGCACGCCACGACCATAATTTTTTTATTTGTCTACGACGGAATCAGCACGTTGTTGAATGTTTTTTTCTCATTTACAAAGGTGTCGAATAGTAGGTGGTTTATTCATATCACTTATCCCTTTACTGAATGCTTTTTATCTGGTCATCCACATAATAAGGCCCGAATGTTCAAGTTTATTTAAAATGTATCAAATGTAATGTACTTCTTTGACCTTACAGCATTACGTTTTGCTGCATTACATCTTTACTTACTCGTCGGCCGAAGTAAAGTTCTGTTTACTATTTTTATATCAGAGTAATCTTTATTAACTTTAACTCCTTACTTACATCTTCATGACCGACCTAAGCTAGATAGATCTACCAGCATACGTAGACATACTGCGTGTTGGCGGGCCAATGTAGGCCTTTCACTTTATTTAGAGTTATCCATTTATTTATTAATTTTCTGCTTTATAATAGATCCTCTGTTTAGTATACAACAGCTGCCAAAATAAGAAAGTGTCTCTCCAGTAGAGTCGGGTCTACACTTATTTATGTTTAAATACCTAACTTGCAACATGGCGGTTTTAATTTATCCTTCACGTATGGCAACGATTATGTTTAAGAGCGATTAACAACGATGGACGGGCTGGTTTTTTAAGGGTGCATTCCCAGAGATTTAGATCGATCCAGAGATTTAGATTTAGATCCACCTACCTTCCTGGGGATTCATGTTAAATTGCAGTCAGCCAAGCGCGCACCATAGTTAATTACCCCCTTACAGTTTTTAGTAGGCGGGACAGACGCTTAAGCCGGCTAAGCTGACAGTAATCTAGTGAGACTCCCCACAGGGATAGATCGATCTAAAATCTATGGGAATGGGGTCTAAGATTAGGTTTATCTGGTGTTGCTGAGGAAATCGGGACACAAAATAAAAAGTAAACGATCTTCCAACTAAATACCGATACTATTGGTAGCCTTATCGACTTTGAACACTTCTTTATGCCAATTCATATGTGCTATAAATGACTTTTTGTGAAAGGGGCTATATTTTTATTCAATAGCCTCACTGATGTTAAAGGGCATAATTGATTTGTATACGCAGCTTTTCAGTGAAAAAAATTCTACCTAGGTGACGGTAATACAAACACCCTTTTGTGTTCTGCGCGCTGTCGTTTGTAAAGAAGAAAATCCATTGTTTTTGTAACCTTCATATCAATATAGCAGTAACGGTGAGGGGTTTCTCTCAGAGTCACCATTATATTACTTGAGGATCAAGGCGTTTTAGCTTTGCACAATTTTTAAAAGTGCTTTCTTTTTTGGTCAATAGTTAATAATGTCCGAGGATGTGGTAGCTTCAGTTACTCCATTTGCTTGCTGTCTTGCAGGGCGCTTCACGGAATCTTGCTTGGGAAGATTTAGAACATTTGTCTTTATTGTGGTCTTAATTGTGAAGATAACTGATTTGGCATTTAATATTCTACTTATGCTTGAAACTATGAACGAATTAGAAGAAATAGATAGATATATGTCTGCAGACAACACAAATCATAAAACTAAAACCTGGAGCACGAACTTGGGGACTACTACTGCTTGGAATGCGAACGTTACTTGGAACACAACTTGGGATACGAACACTACTTGGAACGCAACTTGGGCCACGAGCACTACTTGGAGGACAACCTCGGAAACGAGCACTGCTTGGGACACAACTTTGGACACGAACGCTACTTGGAACGCAACTAGAGGCACGGACACTACTGGGATTAACACAAACTCAGACACGAGCACTATTTGGCATCCATTTTGGGACCCGGACATGAACAGAACATACTGCAATTTTGTCATTGATTACGATATCTCCGAGCCAGTTGACCTTCTCAAGACACTGCTCATAACATTCCAGGTTTACATAGGAGCCGCAATATTTCTTTTAGTTTTTTACATAATAGCATGGAGTGTAGTAACCTGCAATTCGAGCGACGATTCAATTAAAATGACAATGTTTTCAGCAATGGGAATATTCCAAGTTTACCTGGCATTGGCCTACGACATCCCCATGAATACAATGGCCATAGAGATGCAATGGCTGCATGGAGGAGAATTCGGCATTGAGTGAGTACTAAGGGTTGCTCTGTGGACACCATAATGGTTTAGGGACAGCTAGAAATTTGTCCTTATGAAAAACGGTACCAGCAACAGCTTGTGTAACGAAACGGAGAGTCCTACCTACGGTTCGGCGGACTCTATATATGTTTTAAAATTGACAGGCCCGGACTCTGTATCACACCGGACTCTCAGTTCCATCACACCAGCGTGTCTCAACCTTATATTAGGACTGTTTAACTTGTAAATAAAACACGCACGTTGATAGGCGTACCCTCAGCAAAATGTTCGACTTCCCGCACATTGTTTTTGCATATGCCCTATACGGGAACAAGGTTAACTCCCGCAAACTTTGCATATTTTCCGCACGCATCTGGCACACTTGTGGCAAGCTTCCGGTACATCTTCTGCACAATGAACACATCTGTGTACCACGAAAGTGGTACACACGTGTTGCTCATGTCTCATTTTGCTTAGGGTGCTACTTTCATCTTCATCAAATATGTTGGTTTAATATTTTCCAAGATAAAGGAGTTATTTTCATCATTTCAATTCATGGTTTACAGTTTTAACTTAAAAGATGCCGGTTTTCTATTTCAGCTGTTGGATGTGTTCCAAGGATTCAAATTGCTCGGACGTGGAGCCTCTAAGCCTTGTTAGTCCGCTGAAGATCTTCTCAGATGATCAAAACGAGAGAGCAGCGGCCGAATTGTGGTTAACGCTCGGACTATCGTCTCTTTCCACGTTCATAGACCTGATCTCTGTAACAAACCCGTATTTTGTAAGCGTAACTTTATATTATTTTTTATGCTGCGCAAGTGGCAGCAACGATGCAGCCGGGAGGTATTTCTTGACAGCTTATTACGCTTTTTGGGGGATTTTAGCAGGAGTTCATGTTCAAATGACAAATCTTACTCTTCTGGATCGTCACCTACTACCTCAGGGTGATTATCCGTGGGAGTTTAAATCAACCATTACGATATTGATGGTGATATCTTTCGTTGCCTCATATATGGATTGTCTTCTTACTTTCTTCGGTTGTTGTCGGTGGTGTGACGGCAGTAAGGGCTCTTTGACAAGAAGAATAGCATATCCATTATTTATCTGGAATTTGGTCTTCTTCGCCATGAACATAGCAAAAACTACACTCCCAATATCTCACCCTAAAGAGAGCTACATTACAGTTGTTGCAATTGGAGGTGGATTTATATTATTTTGGATGGGTCTTATATCAATACTACTGATTTTTCTATGTTGTGGTATGGATGATGCCATTAGATCGTTGGGACGTTTGGTTCAAGTCGACGACTCTTCAAATCGAGTACACCCATAATTAAACTAATGTCGGTGTTAAACCGATGTAACAACGGACGCATGGAAGGAAGCGAGAAGTTCAAACACAAGGAAAGCACCAGGCACTGTTAATGTGGTCGGAGACAGGACGTGACGCGACCAGTAGCATAATGATATTCAATGACTGATTACGAGTAGATTTCTATACTTAATCGGTAAACGAGAGGACTAAACATGAAAACGTGTATACCCATACATACAGTACGAAGAAAAGATAAATTGCGTACATGTAGTTTTACACAGTGAATAGACTGTTCCAAACAGATACTGTATAAGTGCATGTACATGTATTTAAAAAAACAAAATGTATTTTGCTTATTAATTCGGTTTTAGATAAAACATGTTTGCTGCCTATTTCGTATGTTTGATACATTGGGTGACAATGATTAACCAGTGTGAGGAAAAACGTTTCCCTGTGCACTAAATGATGCTGTGGCTCATTATGATTTTAAAAATGTAGACATTGGTTGCATAGTTGTTATTTGAACGATAAATGGTTTTCTATAGCTACCAATTGATGCAAATAATCTAATTTATTCTATATATATATATATATATATATATATATATATATATATATATATATATATATATATATATATTTTCAATGGCATTAAAGTGGCATATAACTTTAATCAATAATGTGATTTTTAAGATTTAAACTTAACTGATGCTTTTCTTATCATGGCAAGAGACGGAGAAGAGGGCCTTTCCCTAATGTGACCTTGACCTTAGGCACCTTACATGTAGTATGTTATAGTTTCCAGGCACATGAAATTGCTGGCCCTCAACCGTGTGCAAGTAAATTAATAATAATGAAGATGATCAGACTTGGTAAAAACTTTTCTTTTTTGTCAATTTAACACCTATTTTGAGGTGAGAGAGCAAACGGTATGGGGCGTAACTCATCCCTGAACGAAAATTGTCAAAGTTGACCAGGGGAGTAAAGGTTACAATCCCGTGCCGTCATTTTGGTTTAAATGTACATGTACGTGTTATCGAATTATGAGCCCCTAATTACAATTTTCATTACCCAATGCATTATTTTTCTTTATCAACGAGAAAATCTTAAGTAAGACTTTGAAGAAAATTCGCTGGCGGGGTTTTGGAGTAATAAATGGTGTCATTAAATAAGCGTTAAAACGGTGATCGTGGGTCCTCAGGTAAAAGAGAAATTTGAGAAACCGATTTTTCAGTTTTTGCCCCAAAATCGCTATTATGACGCCACCCGTAAGATGACATGTGTAACTGTTAATTAATTTAGTCACTGAACACTGAAGATATATTTATTACCCGAAAGAAGGTGTGTATGGCAGTAAATAAGGAGTTTTGGGCGAAGGGTGACAATATCCTTAAGGTATTATATTTCAAAGATTCTTCTTTCATTTGATTTGCTTTTACTCATTACGATATATATACGAGACCGACAAGAGGTCGACTCGAAAACCTAGGAATATTACACCACTCTTTTAAATATCAACATGATCATTCCTGATCTTTTTTTAAAAATATATTTGCCTATTTTATCACGAGATTTACCATACCTTTCTCCTTGTGTTTCAGAGTTTATTCTGAATGACAAAAGATTGGTATTTCTTTATGATACAACTAAAAAAAACTTCCCGAGTATTTTCGTCACGTGGGCCATAAAAATATGCGAGAGTAAGAATTTAGCAAGGAAACATTCCGGGATACGATACGTTTTAAGATCACCTTTCCCCATCCAATAGGCTTATTTACTCAATAACCGAATGTAGATCCGTTTCATTTCATCAATTGCTCAAAAGTTACCACTCCATTATATTTTGAGATGAATCAGATGAGGTCATTTTAAACCCAAAACAGACTTTGCGGCAGCTGTGTCTTCCAAACCTTTAGTTCCAATCCGACTGTAGTCCTACCCTCTACCAGGCCCGCAAAAAATATGGGTACCCTTCTCTATCGCTACCCTGGGATTTTGCGCGCAGATGGCATTAGTACCCGCTCTTTAGGTAGTTACTACAGGTGATTCCTAAGTTAGCTTTAATCTGAAATTACAAGTAATACAAAAGGGGCTATTTTTATCTGTCACAAAAGAGCAAGTGATTAAATTCATATCAATAAACTGCCTTGTTTGTTGTCAGGGGGGCTTAATTAACAATGCATAATTAAGTGACAATTCCTGAGCAGTTATGCAAACGATTACCATCGACGTCAGCACAGGGTCACAGTTAGAAGATTGACCATATTTAGCCAGATACATTATCTGTGAATATCTATGGAAAAATCAACCTGTGGCACTAGAGGCTACCGCAGTCCCCTTGTATTCCTCATACCTCTTTGATGCCGCTCAGAATGAGTTATGTCGATTTAGCTTGTGAGCACTAACTCCACGGGGACTCTCGCTGAGATCAATCAAATTAACAGGCTAGCACGCCTCCTATTGTTTCCAACGCAATTGCATAATCACCAACATCTTACACATGAGGGCCATGTGTAAGATTAGTGTGTGCACTTTACATGTTTTACCCACTTACCATCTTTAAATAAAGTTTATTATTAATATTATTTTTTACTATAACATCTCTATATTCTACTCAAGGAAATTTTCATACATTGGATGTCAGGCTTTGGGAGTACAAGCAAAGAATAAATATTTTGAACATCTGTCTTGGCTGGTGAAAGGGTAAAACCTTACAGTAGTTTAGTTTTGATGGTTCACAGTTTAGTTTTTGTGGATTAGTGAACACCTTGGTACAAATACATCATTTGATTTTCATTGGAGTAAATAAGTTGGGGGTTGTGTTGGTTGTATAAAGCGTCTAATAGAACCCAGTGTGGCTTTTTACCAGGTATTCAGTAGTATATAAGCTGTGCATAAAGCTTTCTGAAAAAATTATGCCAGTATCTGTAAACTTCACAAATAAAGCATGGGATCCATCTTGTGAAAAAGGGAAATTAATTTCAACTTGAAGGATAAGCATACACTGTACAGCAGGGTGGTTTGCTAACCCAATATACGAACTATTTATAATATGTTTTTAAGTAGGAGATATTCTAATATAGGGCCTAAACTCCGTTCCGTCATCCCAAGGATCCGCCTTTCACATACACACACACAAACACAAACACACACACGCTATCACTTTGGGCTAAGACCTATAATAGTGTCTCCCCTATTTTGCCGTTTGATATTTTAGCGACTGACAAAAGGTGAAAATGGTGTTTTTCGTAGCCGTTCCATCACAATCATGTGTATACAGAGCAGCTTCATATTTGGAACAGCCTTATGAAATTTACCAAGCTTGAAGAAAACACGAGACGGTTACTCAAAGTTTTCATTTGTCATAAGAGTGATCATAATGCCAATAATACACAGCTGATATATGCACTTGAGATACATTAAATCGATTGACTATCCGCAGGGGAAAACAGTAGATCTACCTGTAGGTCACGTGGTCTGTGGCGCAATAATTGATGAATAGGACCTAATCCACAAGCTAATTTGTCCCGCTGAAGTTGGGGAAGGAATTTCGAATAAACGAAGTTGGGCAATTTAAAACACAGTCTCAACAAAGTGGTTGAATTTATTTCTCGAATAATAGATAACGCCATCCGAGTTTGTGGCAGCTTTACGTTAATCTATACCTGTGATGGTATTCTTTATGGCATAGTGTTACCTTTGGATGGCTCTTGTATTACTGTTCAATTCATGATTCCGTTGACATGACATTTACTTCCCCTATAAATTGTCGATCTCTTACCAAATGTATTCATTCCAAATAAAAGAACATTTCCAAAAACACTGTTATTGAAAAAACAAATGATATTGATAAAACAATATTGAGCTGGTTTAATAATGCATAATGGTAGTAACTGAAAGCGCAAATGCAAATTTTGCAACAAAAAAGTCACTTTAGGATGAGACAAATGAGTATGAGACAAAATATGAAATATTACTCAAATAAGAAGAGGAGGGTTTCTAAAAGTATGCTATGTCTGATGTGTATATTCAAAAGTGATATCCAGTCAAACTGGCTCGTCTATACCCCCTCAACACCCCCTTCCTCTGCCTCTGACACGTCCATACCTGAACGCCAAATGAAAGGAGTTGAATTTCTGAAAGCGCACCAAGTTCTACGCTGTGGGCCCTTCTCGGCAGATAATTACACTAATATTGGTGTTTACCCGATGTAAGAGACATCTATTGGAAGGAAATAAAGGAAACTCAAGGCAGTTAATTATGGCAACAAAAGGAGCCCAGGGTGGGCTCGGCCACCATTTCTTTACAACGACGTCATCGATTTTTGAATAATTTCTTTCTTATTCACATAGTTACCCTATACAATGTGCTTTATATATCCATCACTTCTTCTTTTATCAAATGCTTTTTTTTCTGGCCCAGAACTGGATCCGTCTAACTCTTTGCGGATTCTCGCTGAATTGCATTCAGTCTAAGCCGCTTAAACGTATAGGATATAGGCTGGTATTAAGATTAAGATTATCTGGCGTTGCTAAAGAAAAAAATTAATATGAAAGATCTCTATACTTTATATAGACATAGATTTTGTAAGTTTCTTTATATCAATTTGTATGTACCATGAGTGACTTTTTACTATATTTAGCAGACTCACAGCAGTGTAAAGTAGCATCGAAGATGTGTACAGAGCTTTTCAGTCAATAACATCCAACCTAGGTGACGGCACAACAAACACTCTCTTTGTGTATACGCTGCGTGCTGTCTTTTGTAAAAAAGAACAGCTGCAATGTTTATGTTACCTTCATATTAAAATAGCAGTAACTGTGCGGGGACGCTTCTAGTCACTGTTCATTACTTGAGGATTAAGGCAGTATAGATTTGCACAATTTTGGACGGTGGTTTCTTTTTTGGTTAACAGGTAATTATGTCGGAGGATGTAGTAGCTGCCGTTACTCCATTTGCTTGCTGTCTCATTGGGCGCTGTACAGAGACTTGCTTGGGAAGGTGGAGAACAGTCGTTCTTATTGTGGTCGTGATTGTGAAGGCAACTGATTTGGGATTTAATATTGTGCTCATGGTTGAAACTATGAACGAATTAGAGGAAATAGATAAATATTTATCTGCAGACGGTACAAATTATGAAACTAAAAACCCGATCGCGAAGTGGGGGACTACAACTACTACTTGGGACACGAGCACTGCTTGGAACTCAACTTGGAACACGAGCACTGCTTGGAACGTAACTTGGAACATGAGCACTCCTTGGAACGTAACTTGGGACAGGAGCACTACTTGGAACGTAACTTGGG